GGTGATCGTGTTAATAGAAACTACAGCTCGCACTCTGCAAGCTTCAAACGATTGAGCAGTGAAGCTTCGGGGAGTTAAAGTGAGAGCAGCTCACTCTCACAATGCAGCGGTATATTTAGCACAGGCCTCTTCATTTTTAATGAAAATTCGACTTCACGCTGCTGCGCGGCTGCTGCTCACTCGCTGCTACTGCGACATCTAAAAAACAGATTCTTTTCAGCTCGAATTCACTCAGAGCTCACAGGTTTACACATCAGCATCACGTCTAAGTTGCTTTTCCATTTTTCAGCTTTGATTCTCTGTCACTGAGGAAATATTGATTTAACTGAGAAATGAGATTTGAAATGATTTATTCAGTCTGTCAGGGATGGGAAAGGTTTTTCCTGCCACAGTTCAAGGAAAGACCCGAAGACTGAGAGCACAGGATGAAAGGACGGTTTTCATATCAAGAAAACAGGAAGTGCTGCACTGAAGCAGCAGGAAAACCAGAGTCGTCCAAATGTGAGGAGCCAGAACCGAACACAGGAGCGGCATCGACCGTGTCATGTTCTGGTGGACGTGGACGCTCATTTGGAAGTCAAGCTCAAATATCTGACAGCCTTATTTTTGCTTCAAATCTTCTTTCTTACCTCAAACATGTTTCTTAGTCACACTTTAACAACAGTAAACACGTCATCGTACCTCACTCTGCAGCTCCGACAGCTGTTTGGCCAGCTGTGTCTCTGTGGTCTCTGGGAGCTGATGGTACAAACTGCTCTGAATCTTCTGCTTCAGACCTTCTTTATATTTCACCTGCAGGAGACGAAGAAGAAACACATGTTTTCATTTTTTGTCCAGATTTCAATGGATTAGATTATTTTGTATTATTTAACAAACTGAGGCCAGACGTCTGTTTCGTGGTCGACTCCACACTTCAACTCACTGGACTTCAGATCACACAAAGATCTGCAGTCTTCTATGTTTGTAACACTTTGTAATATTGATCCTGATAAATAAAATTGCACCTTTACTTTCTTATTCCTACTTTTCTGTCTCACTCTTTTTAAATTCGGAGCACTGCACACACAGGTTGTTTATCTCGACTGACGTTCGAGCCAGCGGATGGAAAGAAAAAGCCATTAAAATGGGATTAAAGTACCTCACTCTGCAGGTCTGACACCTCTCTGGCGTGCTGTGTGTCGATGGTCTCGGGCAGCAGAGAGTACAGGCTGATGTTCATCTCCTTCTTACCGTCTTCTTTATATTTCACCTGGAAAAACATTTGATTTAATCGGCAGCTTCTGCCCTTTAAACTAATTCTTGTTTTTTTTCTCTCTTCTGTTCGCGTTACCTCGCTGAGCAGCTCGGAGACTTCTTTGGCGTGAGCCGTCTCCAACGTCTCTGGCAGGAGGTGGAAGAGGCTGCAGGAAAGAGTTTTCTTCTGGTCGGCCTTGTAGTTCAGCTGAGCACAAACAGGATCAAACTGTCAGTGATGGTGAGCAAACGTCTAACATCGAACGTTGTTCCACATCTGTCTGCCCGACTGAACTATTCACACCAGCT